ACGGCAAGATTTTCTGGGTAACAATGAGATTTAGCTCCATGTTACCGCCTCTCCTCGCCTTGTCCTTCAGACAACTTTTTTGTGTGCACAGCACATGCCCTTGACGTGCTCTGGATGTTGGAGTGAATTGAAACTGGGACCTTCTTTGAGAGCACAAGTTCTCAGGTTCAAACCTTTAGAGAAAAGACTGAAAACGAAACGCTTCTATTCAGTTTGGAAGAATCTTGCTTCAGAGAGAATATGGTGCGTGTATATTTTCTAATCGCTAGGTGTCAGTACACTCGCTGGCTGTTACCTAGAGTGCCGCGGGCTTGCTATTTGCTCCAAACAACTGCGCCTTTGACGCAAGTTTACAATAACAATGAGAGCGCCGCAAATCAACAGCATTGAAACGTGTAAAGATGCTTTCCAGGCAAGAAGCAGTGAGTTTTTGTTCTTTTTCCTAGCATTATTGTCCTTTTATTATTATTATCAGTCTAATAGGCTGCATTGAGTTCTTGCTCATCTACACTGGCCTCGGGCAGCGAGGCTGCAAGGCAGCAAGCGAAACTACATGCCCCCTTCAACCAGCTTGTAGTCGTGGCCGAGTGGTTAAGGCGATGGTCTTGAAATCCATTGGGGTCACCCCGTGCAGGTTTGAATCCTGCCGACTACGCTGACATCATGCGCCTTCTTTAGGTTTTAACCTTCTGGAGGCCTTGCTAAAATTTTATAAAAAGTCACTGTTACAGTATTACCCTTGAAAAGAGTTATGTTGTTAAGAAACATTTTTGTCTGCAAGCTAAAGATGTCAAGGCACCTTTGTATTCAAGTTCACGTCGGGGAGACCGGTAGCTCGCCGTGATCGTATAGTGGTTAGTACTCTGCGTTGTGGCCACAGCGAATCTGGGTCACGGCAAGTTTTTCTGGGTAACAATGAGATTAAGCTCCATGTTACCACCTCTACCACAAACTCGATGCATTGGAGAATCTATTTTTTTCTGCCGCCAATACGATTCATTTTGCTGTGCGTCCCCACGCAGCACGCAGCAATCCATTGGGGTCTCCCCACGCAGGTTCGAATCCTGTAACCTTCTGGAGGCCTTGCTAAAACTTCATAAAAAGTCACTGTTAGAGTATTACCCTTGAAAATAGCTTTGTTGTTAAGGAACAGTTTTGTCTGCAAGCTAAAGATGTCAAGGCACATTTGTATTCAGGTACACGTCAGGGAGACCGGTAGCTCGCCGTGATCGTATAGTGGTTAGTACTCTGCGTTGTGGCCGCAGCAACCCCGGTTCGAATCCGGGTCACGGCAAGATTTTCTGGGTAACAATGAGATTTAGCTCCATGTTACCACCTCTCCTCGCCTTGTCCTTCAGACCACTTTTTTGTGTGCACAGCACATGCCCTTGACGTGCTCTGGATGTTGGAGTGAATTGAAACTGGGACCTTCTTTGAGAGCACAACTTCTCAGGTTCAAACCTTTAGAGAAAAGACTGAAAACGAAACGCTTCTATTCAGTTTGGAAGAATCTTGCTTCAGAGAGAATATGGTGCGTGTATATTTTCTAATCGCTAGGTGTCAGTACACTCGCTGGCTGTTACCTAGAGTGCCGCGGGCTTGCTATTTGCTCCAAACAACTGCGCCTTTGACGCAAGTTTACAATACCAATGAGAGCGCCGCAAATCAACAGCATTGAAATGTGTAAAGATGCTTTCCAGGCAAGAAGCAGTGAGTTTTTGTTCTTTTTCCTAGCATTATTGTCCTTTTATTATTATTATCAGTCTAATAGGCTGCATTCCCACAAATTCGCAAATATATTTTGACATAGCAGACGTTTTGTCGGTCGTTCTGAATCGTCGAAGAAGGGAACGCGATACATTGGAAAATACTTTTTTTTTTGCCGCCAATACGATTCATTTTGTTGTGCATTCCCACGCTGCACGCACGCGTCACAAGCAAGAGCCCGGATAGCTCAGTCGGTAGAGCATCAGACTTTTAACTCTTTTTACTCTTTTTGTGGAGCGGTACGTTTTGCTGTTGAGTTCTTGCTCATCTACACTGGCCTCGGGCAGCGACGCTGCAAGGCAGCAAGCGAAACTACATGCCCCCTTCAGCCAGCTTGTAGTCGTGGCCGAGTGGTTAAGGTGATGGACTAGAAATCCATTGGGGTCTCCCCGCGCAGGTTCGAATCCTGCCGACTACGTTGACAGCATGCGCCTGCTTTAGGCTGTAACCTTCTGGAGGCCTTGCTAAAACTTCATAAAAAGTCACTGTTAGAGTATTACCCTTGAAAATAGCTTTGTTGTTAAGGAACAGTTTTGTCTGCAAGCTAAAGATGTCAAGGCACATTTGTATTCAGGTACACAACGGGGAGACCGGTAGCTCGCCGTGATCGTATAGTGCTTAGTACTCTGCGTTGTGGCCGCAGCAACCCCGGTTCGAATCCGGGTCACGGCAAGATTTTCTGGGTAACAATGAGATTTATCTCCACCTCTCCTCGCCTTGTCCTTCAGACCACTTTTTTGTGTGCACAGCACATGCCCTTGACGTGCTCTGGATGTTGGAGTGAATTGAAACTGGGACCTTCTTTG